ACCTTTGAGAGTCTAGCCCAAACGAGTTCTTTGTTTCTAGTAAGTTTCTTCACGAATCGGCCAAGTCTCAAGTTCTTGCCTAAGATTTTTCTCTTCCATACGAGCCTCTGAATTCAGCAAATTGGATTGGCAATGCAATAACCTCTGTTCCACATTTACAATATTTTTCCTTATGTTTCCAGTTAACTGCTGACCCCAACAACAAAGTTTGTCAAAAGTCGATTTTAGTTTAGAATGGAGAGCACCATTTGAGTTATCCCATGAGGCAGATAAGGCTTCCAAAAAATTGGGTTCCTGGGTCCAAGCTTCTTCAGTTCTTCAGAGTTGGGCGGAATTTTGCCAACTACGTTTGGTGCTTAACAAAATGGGGTGGTGATCACTTCCACAGGAGGCCAGCTTTCGAACATGAACATGGGGGAATTCATGAATCCAGTCTTGATTGGCCAGGAATCTGTCGAGTCTTTTGGAAATAAGATGGGATTCATCTCTTCTGTTAGTCCATGTAAATGGAGGGCTTGATGAGCCTAAGTCAATGAGATTGCACTCACTTATGGCTTGTGATAATAGACTTGTCTCACCCCTTGAAACTGCACAACCTCCTTGTTTTTCATTGCTGGAAACAATGAGATTAAGATCTCCGCAAATACACCAAGGCCTGGTTGAATTTTCAAGAAATGATTTTATTTCATCTCTGAATTGAGTTCGAGCACTAAGGGATGGATGCACATAGAAGCAGAGTAAATCCCATTCAAGGCAATGAGGTCTGTTCTTTACAGTGCAGTAAATTGAGTGGTCTGTAATTGAGAAGATGGACAGCAATACATTCTTTGAATAACCAAACCACAAACCTCCTGATCTACCAGTTGCAAGGATCACTTCGACATGGTAGTTATGAAGGTGTCGAAGAATTGCTTTGGATTTGATCAAATTGTTCTTTGTTTCAAAGATGAAGAATATGTCTAGATGGTGCTTTGAAAGGAGCCTGTTGAGGTAGAGAACTGTCAGGCGACTCCCTCCCTGACAGTTCCAAATGAGAATTTGAGAGTTAGAGGCATCAAATTCATTGGTGTTGATGTTCCTTGCTTGCCTTTTGAGTCTGACTCGTCCTTGGGTTGAAGTAGTTAAATCTTCGAAGCAACTCTTTCTTTTCTTTGTGCAACAATTAGATGAATTCAGGTGATCATCCATGGCCATCGGTGTATGCTCCACGGATTTGAATCCACATTAATACAGAGAGTGAATTTAGAAGACTTGCCTGATTTGGCGGATCTACTAACCAACGGATTGGTAGTAAATCCACCATCCCTTAATGAAGGCTGAGACGTGATTGTGTTTAGAGCCTCTTGATTTTCCCCCGTATTAATAATTTCTTGAATAACTGCTAATGGTTGGCTTGTGTCGTCCGAAATGGAAATTGGATGGGAGGGCTCCTTGGTTGTCGGTGGTGGTTCAACACATCTTCTCAAGAAATTCACTTCCATATGTAACGGTTTAGAGTATGGGGCATCCGTTTGTGATTTTGAATGATGGGCATTAATGGCAGGAGCTGGGGAGTTATGGGATGAGAACTTGCCTGGATTGGCGGGTTCACATCCGAGAGAATCGGCTTGACAATCGCCATTTCGAATTTCCTTGCTGGAACCAGTTAACAGATCAGTGCCGCCGGCCAACTCTAGCGAACTTGCTGGTAGTGAGCCTTATGAAGAATGGGATGATTCGTCATTGTCTTGTTTCTCCGCAGGTTCGTCATCTTTTCCWCTGGGAGAGTGTAATTTGCTGAAGGGCGTTGCTCTGATTTCCAGAGTAATGAAGTCAGACAGGAGATTTTGAATTCGTTGTTTCCCTTCTTCTAAATTGCAACGATGTAGAGCTTCCAAAAGCTTGTGCTTTATTCGACAGGAGATATCTTCATGTCCCATTAAACTACAAAATTTGCAATGTCGTGGTAGTCTTTCATATTGAACATTGATCGGGATTGTATCACCGTTCAGAAGTGCAAATGGGACCTCTTGTTGAATTGGATCGTTAATATTGATTTGGACTCTAATTCTGGTGTATTTGCTTCATTTATTAATGCTTTTGCTTGCAGGCTCAAAAGGTTTTCCCAGAGCAGAGGCAATCTTTTTGACAGCATCGAGGTTTAGATATCCGATAGGTAAACCTGTAAGATGAACCCAGAAACTTGCTTGATCAAGAGGATAGTCAATTGGTCTGAAGTTTGGATCCCCTTTTTGAGTGATAATAAGATAGATCGTTGTCAAATAGCCAAGGTCCTTTTTCCAAGATTTGATCTCTTCCAAAGCAGCTTGGGAACTTGACTAAATACGAGTTGGGACCAAAGTCCATAATCTCGCCATTTCCAAGTTTCCATGATTTATAGATCATTTCTCTGAGTCCTGCCACTCTGTAATTTTGATCAGTAAGAACTTTGAAGATTAATGTTCTCTGGGAAGCAGGTCGTTATCCGTTGCTTTGATCGGAATAACTGAGCGAGGCAACCTCAGACTCGACAAATGTTTTAGTAGTTCCTCATCTCCCTGGTTAGGAGAATCAGAAGGGGTGGAGGAATTCTCCACGTTCATTAGAGGAGTACTGTACAGAGGAAAGACTGAGAGCCTTGCACTACGACAAGAGAGAATTTGAACCAATTACTACATCTCGATTAATGACTGAATGATTATTTGAGTTCTTCACAACAAACTAACCATCTTTAGATTTGGAAACCATAAACTACCATTAGTGGGGGTAAAACCGAATTTTTAAAAACTGAACGTGTCAAACATAAAGTCAAACATCAATGTTACAAAAAAAAAAGAAAAAAAAAAATCAAACAGGAACCGAAATATCTAGTTCAATATTTTATTAAAACTAAATTTTATTAATATTATATTAATACAATTAATATTATATATATCAGTGAAATTATATATTATATAATATTATCTATCTATCTATCTATCTATCTATCTATATATATATATAACATAAATTTTATTTAAATCGTTTAACAGAATTTTTAATCCTGAAAACTGAAACCGAAACTTTAAAATTTGTTCGATTTAAGTGGCATTTGATAGTGTGTTCATCTCGTGGATGGACTGTTTCCGTCCATGCCACGAGATGAACATGTAGTTCGGTTGGGCATGGATTGGACTAGTCCACTCCACACTATATCGTGGACCAACCTTGTCCACACCCAAAATATYGACAATGGGTATTTATCCTGGAATGGCTCCATCCACAATTTATTTTTGATATTATGTTTCACATTCACAATCGAAACCTTGCATTTTACCGTTAGCCTCTCCACCACCGAAGCACTCTATCATTGTGCGTTGCCGCAAAGGGAGGTCTCCTCCACCGAAGCGCTCTTCCAGGCTTTTTCTGTCATTTTTATTTCTTTTGTTTCTGTTATTGATATTGATTTTGGTGGTGTTACTCCCTTTTTTCCACCGCCATTTCCTTTTCTTCTAATTTTTCATCTTCTCTTGCGGTTCTTCTCCTGAACACCCCCACCAAAATGCAACTTTAAGTCTCCAAGTTCTGAAACCTTTTTGTCAAGAGGCACAATCAATAACACCTTTTCAATTCCAGAAGTCGGAGTTGAATCCTTTGAAGAGAATTCTTATTCGAAGGACAACCCTCTACTAATCACCAATTCTGGACCCCCCTCCAAGGAACTACAATATAAAGATTTGTGATATGGATCACTGGGCATGATCCATCATATTAGTAGAGAAGCTTCATGTTATGAAAGAATAGTCAAAGAACAACTACAATTTTCTTCATGTTGTCCACACGGTTTATGGATAGATGTYTTTTCCTTGAAAAGAGAAAAAAAAGTGAGGAGCATTATGAATGAGGTTAGGGAAGGCTAAGAAAAACCTGGATTTAGAAGTGAGAAAAAAATTAGATAGATCTTGTGTTTTACTTTCATTATTTAACAGAAGATATGTCCCTAGATTGTGCTGAATGGAGGAATAGGACTTCTACCACTTACACCACTTAGGTGAAATCCAACATGAGTTGTGGTAGACAATGTGAGGAATTTCCATTTCAAGAGAAATTTTAATTCTTCAAAATGATAAGTTTGATCAGAAATTATGAGAGGAGAAGATACATTAGGGAAAATGGAATGCTTTTTAAAACTTAAAACTTTGTTAACATATGCAAATTAAACACTTAAAATTTAACACCGAACAGCAAGTCAAGGCAYGTGTCTTTGCTGAAGGGTAAACACAAGATAAAAATAATAATTTTTATTTTTTAAATTATTTTATTACCATTTTTGTTGAAATTAATATTCAATTGCCAAAGCCTTTTTTCAATTTATTTATCGTATAAATTATAAAAATTAGACATTTATGATCGACTATATAGATTATTTTATAAATTGTATATACGATATGTGGAATAAAAAAGTGTGGTGGGTAAATGATCCACACCATGCCTACGAAACACCAGTCTGAGTGTGGATTGGCCACACAATCTATCCACAGTTCAAAACAGTTGCGAACTGTGGTGTGGATTGATCCCTGCCACTAGGTGTGGTGTGGACTGRTCTACACCACCCAATTTTTCATCCACACTACARACCACTAGTCTTTTGGTTTTAGCCAAACAATGCTCACCCATTATTTGCTACTTGCCCTTTTATCTTAGAATAACTTACCAGAAATTCAGAATTCACCATTATAGCATAGGTTTTTATTCTAAACTGTTTTTTTTTATTAATTTTTACTATAAACAGTCGAATTGTGGAAAACAAATTCTATGAAACTGTTACAGTTCTAGAAAACATTGTTGGATAAAATGACTGAAAGGCTGTATTTGGTTGCAGTGCAATTTTATTTGCACTAGTACAAATGTATGGAAGTGTAAATGAAAAAAAAAATGCAGAATTTGGTTTACTTTTGTTTTGGATCGATTTTACGTTATTCTTCTTTGGGTTTTATTTTACTTTATTTGTACTGCAACACCAAAACATTTGCACTGCCATATAGCTATTATCATCATCCAGTGATTGTTTGCAAAATCGTTGTTCGAGTGTACAAAGGCCAAGCAATGCATTTGATGCCCCACGACCAATGAAACAGATTAAAGCAAATCCCACTTGCAAAAGCCGGCCGGAGATTATACTGCTTCCACTGTTGTCATCAGTCCAATGAAAAAGGAGCCAAAAACTTCTAGCGTTATCACCGGCCTTCCGGGTTTACGATTTCAGAGAAGGACATCACGCCATTACATTCGCTACTGATAATTCTTCCTCCATCTCTGCACGAATCATCAACACTGTTGCTAATCTTCTCTGCGCTCTCTTGGAGTTGCAATGCAAATTCAAGGTTCCACAGTACGTCAGCCATTGTTGGCCGTTCTGCTCCACGGTCAGCCAGGCACTTCTCTGCAATCTCCGTGAACTTCTTTAAGCACTCAGGTGCAATCTTGTCCCTCAAATATGGATCAAGGATTTGATCAAGGGTCGCATTGTGTAAGCAGCATAGAGCCCAATGAGCCAACAAAACCTCATCTTCTGGAAGCTTATGGTCCAACGCTGGTCTGGCGCATAATACTTCGAACAACACCACGCCGAAAGAATAGACGTCAGATTTCTCCGTTAGATGCTGCCGCCGGTAATACTCTGGATCCAAATACCCAAAACTACCCTTCACTGCCGTGCTGACGTGAGTGTGGGACAAGCTACTTGCAGTGGGCCCCATCTTGGATAAGCCGAAGTCTGAAACCTTGGCCACCCATTTCTCATCCAAGAGGATGTTTGTTGTCTTGACATCACGATGGATAATCCTGTACTTGTCACCAGTATGGAGGTAGTGTAAACCACGTGCGGCTCCAATGCAGATCTCAAGCCTTTGCTTCCATGGCAGAGGAGATTTATCAGTTTTGTAGAGATGATGACGGAGGGTACCCTGGGCCATGTAGTCGTAGACGAGGATCAACTCTCCACGCTCCTCACAGTAGCCGATGAGGGAGACGAGATGGAAATGACGTAGCTTGGATAGCAGCTCGATCTCGGTTTGGAACTCGTGGGCTCCCTGTTGGGATTTTGGGTTCCCACGCTTGACTGCAACGGAGGTGGTTCCACCGTCGATACAGCCCCTGTATACTTTGCCGAAGCCACCTACACCGATCACTCTTCTCTCATCAAAATTGTTTGTGGCCGCTTTGATCTCTGCCAACGAGAAATGACGGCAAAGATTGGACAACTGGGGTATTGAAGTGTTGCTCTTCACTCTTCTGGCTCGCCGGGAAGAAAAGAAGAATATGATAGAGACTATAACTACAACACCCGCCACCCCTCCGGCAACAATGAACGAAATCTGTTTCTTTGAATTATCTGAGCGTCGGGAAGATGACCATGTAGGGGATAACGACCAATTCCGTGTAGGAATTGGATTGGGTTCGGAGAGATCGCCGTCCGTTTTGCTCAATTTGAAGATCTCTAATCCATTTAAGATTTCATCGGAGTATAAAGGCTTTGCTTCTAAGTTGGGACGTAGCGCGAGCCACATATCTTGATTGCCTTCATTTCCATTTGGACCCACAACGATGTGATCTCTATACACTGGAATACCGTTTCCGCCGCTCCACTCGATGATGTCGACGCGTTCTTCTGCCGTTTGATTTCTAATAAAGATTCTAAAGATCCTTTCGGAACGCTTTGTTATCTCATGTAGGAACTCGCAGAAATGGAGCCTGAAAAGGTAATAGAAGCCTGATGAATCAACAGGAAAAGACCAAGTCAGGTCATACTTTTCATTCAGAGACTTGTTCATTCCCATCGACCGTGCAGTGCGGTAGACACTCTCTGGTGCTGTGTAGCTAGGTACTGAAGGAGTATACGTGACCGAGATAGTCGCATTAACAGGAATAACACCCGGTTGGCCACCGTGAAAGTAAGGAGTATCCTCTGACCATGTGCGATACATGCCAGTATCATCTTGAGGTGAAACTTCTCTTCCTCCGACGTTTAATCGATAAACCATCTCAAGGGCGACAGGAATATCATTCTGCCGAATTGCATAAGGGAGTATTTCATCTCGAATGTAGAAATTATCCGGCATGGAAAGGATCTCGATTCCATTCACAAAGCCATGTGTTTCGAAAATATTGGGAGTTGGTGAGAAAGTGATGATTAATTCGCTCTGCCTCTCTATGTTGACAACAAATTCTTTGAAGAAGCGATCCGTGTCGAGGAAATTTGCGGTAAGAGAGGCACTGAAGTTACGGAGGAGAATATAAGGACCAGCGGAAACGTCAAAGAAAGCATAGCTTTGATTGAGATTAGAATATGAAGCAGGGTAGAAGTAGAGGCGAATAAATTTTGGACCAGCAGAGACGTCCGAGAATTTGTAGGTGAGGTGTGAGCGAAAGATACGAGCTGTCATGTAAGGAATTTGGGGAACAGAGATGCCTTGTACTGAAACTACAAAGGTTGATCCCCTGATATTGGCGTAGGGCTTGTATTTACCGCCGAAATCGCCGGTCCAGTTCCGGCCATCATGTGATTCAGTCACCTCTCCATGGGAACCGCAGTCAACGAATACCTGATAGGTGGTAACATACGGAGTGTAGGCGGTGCCGGAGATTATTAGACTGGTGAAGAGGTAGAGAGGAGCGAGCAGGGAGAGTAGGCAGTTTCTCTCGGTGTTCTCCATGGAAACGAAAATAAAATCAAGGAGAGAACTATGCACTCTCCTCTCTAATCTGTTCAGAATTTATCGCTCTGCTCTGCATAATTTTTGTTCATTTTCACGTGCAAACATCTATGGATTTTTCAAGACTCTGACTTTTCTATCCAATGTTGGTAAACTAGCGTGTTGGGCCCCCTCCTTCGCAAGGGCAAATGCGAAGACAAATGCACTTAAAAAAATAATTGTAAAAATAAAAGAAGGATTTAAGATTTATTTATTTATTATCTCAAAAAAWAGATTTATTTATTTATTTAGAGCTTACCATTCTCCATGCCCCCGTCTAAGATTGGATTTTAGTAAGTTTAATTGCCAAAGGWGGGGTTTTACTTCACAACTTTTTTACAGCACTATTAAACACCGAGCTGTTCCATTGGATGATGCATTTTGGATTTTGTTGTTCTGTGACTTCTACTCGCTGATATATGTTCTCTTTTGGAGACAAATGACCTTCATTGTTAACGTTTCATGACTTTTGGCGTTGTTTGTAGGGGTCTCGTGAGATGTTATATCTTCCGATGCTTAGTTTTTTATGAGGGGCATTTTGGACGATGGACAAGTGGACGCTGTCAGTGATGCAGCGTCCCACTTCGCCGGCTCGACATGCGGCAGTCAACATTAGGTATGAAGACAAGCTAGAGCAAGCTTGTTCTACAACATCAGATATGCGGCTGCTTCGACAGGCTCAGCACGCCCGAAACAGCCCTGCGGACAATGCCCGCATAAGCGCTGTAACTACAACACAGAGAATGGTACATTGATTTGACCGCCTCCAGACCAGCAAGCAACTTGTAACCGCTGCATGGATTTAGCAAACAACTAATCAATACACCCCACGATTTAGGAAATAACTTCGTACATGGCTCAGAGACATTGCCTGACAGCACTTGAACMTGAGGTAGCTATAAAAAGATCATAGGATCACTCCAAAAGGTAGGCACACATAAGCCCTCACTCTCTCTCTCACATTCTCTTTGGAAGAACTATTCACTAACTTAAGCATCGGAGTGTCCTCCTAGGTAAAGACTTACCCAAGCACTCTAACCTCTCTTTCCTTTCAGCTCTCAGCTCGACCTCACAGCTTAGCACAATAGCTCGACTCACGCTGTAGATTGAACTCAAATCCACTCTCCAGACAAAAAAGACATTGCGGCCCCGAATGAACAAGGATCAACAGAAAGCCAAGCAGAGGCCCCCATGAATCTAATGTGGCGAGCTCCGCCGAAGGTACCAGAAGAAAGAAAAGAATGCACCGTGTAGGGATAAAGATACAACTCGCTCGGGCAGGGGGTGAAGCTCGACCAAGAGAAGGTAGTGCGGCAATAGGGAGAATAATCACCTTATTTGAACAACTAGGTTTGACTAGGGAAACCCCTCTTGCACCGGAAATCCTCAGAGCTCTACGCCCTAGAAACTTCCGGGCACCCTACCTTGGAATCTTACCGAGGGAAATCAAACCCGGTGGAACATGTTAATAGTTTTCAAGCTCTAATGCTCCTTCACGGAGCTAATGATGCTAGCATGTGCATAGTGTTCCCCACCACCTTAAAAGAAGAAGCTTGGTTATGGTATTCGGAACTGGCCCTAGGATCCATAAAAAATTGGGACCGATTCACCCAACTCTTCATCAACCAATTCATCACGAGCACACAACACTCAAAATCAGCTACGTGCCTGTTTAACATAGTCCAGAAGCCTAATGAACCACTTAGAGAATACATCTAACACTTCAACATGAAAAGATTGTAGATCCTGATTTGGACCCCTCTATACAGCTGATAGCAGCCAAAAAGGGCGTTAAGCACCGAAAGCTAAAACAGGAGCTAGAACTCCACCCTCCAACTACTATGGAAAGATTCCTCATAGTTGCTCATGAATTCTTTAGGGCGGAAGAAGCAGTCGGAGGGGGGACTGAGACAATAGGAAAAAGGAAACGAACAGATGAAGAAGCAAGCACCAACCGAACCAAATGAAGGAGTAGATCACCTCGTAAAAGTAGATCTTCAAGGAGAAGGCATAGCAGGTTGTCGTGCCGAAAAAGCAGATTACCAAACAAAAGAACATTTTGAGGATAGTTGTACCAAGCAGTACTACAACCCCAACCACCAGCCTTCTCAAGGAAAAACAAACGATTCCTCCAATTCCTAACCTTATTTGGGAAGTTAAAAATTTTATTCCCACTAGAAAAGGGAGATAAAAACAGAAGGGACCCGAAACCCGCTTCATGTGCACCAAAGCTGAGAGGGCCTCAATACTTAGAGGAAAATCGCGGTGATGAAACAAACTGATTAACCCAATCAGCATCCTAACCCCAATAGGAGCGAGCTGGCCTAGGGACACCTGATAGTGCACTAGGACAACAATGATGAAGGGGAAAGCAAAGGCCAGCCGCCAAAGACTCTTCGTAGACACATAAACCTTTCGAGCCATGCTTCCAATGATAACGACCAGGACCATACATGATCCATTGGTACTCATCTGGGATCTCGTATCTATGACACAATTCTACCACCTCGTCCCGTAACAACTCGATTCCCCCAAATTAAATAGGGGTGGATCTGGGATTTAGATCACCAGATAAGATAAGGGATTATCCTTATCCACTTAAAGAGTCTAGATCCAAATAAAGATTTGGATCAAAGGAACTCCTAATTTGATTAGGAAGGCTGATCTTTATCTACAGATAAGATAAGGGATTATCCATATCACTTAAAGAGTCCAGATCCAAATAAGAGAGCAGGGTGAACCTTCAAAACACATTCATTGAATACAGAGAGAAGACAACGCAGTTAGACTGCTCTTGCCTTCTGCTCTTTTTTCTTCCTACTCTTGCCACCCTACCCTGTTTGATCTCTAGTTCTTGAATTGAATCAAGATTCAATCTTGATATTGTTTCTTGCCAGAAGAAACAATTTAGAAGTTGTGCTCACTGTCCCATTCGATTCTTGCTGAAGAATCACTAGTTCTTGGTGAAGAACTACCTGTTGAACCTGCCTCATCCTAAGCTGTGTCATCTTCAGTGGAGGGATGATTTGGTACACTCTTTGGGCATGAACACCTACGTTGGGAGGAGCATTCTTGCATGGATTCCGTATCAGGTATATCCCTCCCTAATTTTGGTTTCAGATTTGGTCCGGTTTGGTTACAAGAACGAACTTTGAAAATGCAGTTTTCTAAATTGGGAATAGGATTCCTGGATGGGAGTAAAGAAATTTTTGAAATTTCGCCCAACCTTCCTGTAGGGTTCGGCCATACATATGATGGATCTCCCATCCCTTCAAGCCGAACCCTATTTTGTGTTTTTTTATTGTTGTAATGGCTTCAAACCTAAGGGATATCATTCTTGTGAAGATGAACTATGGGATGTGGAAGTTCTATTTTGACTTTTATGTTGAAGGGAAAGGTTTAGAAGGATATCTGAATGGAGATATTTCACACACTCTGCTGGATCTGAGGGTTCAATGTGAACAATCTCATATTCAGTCCATAAATCAAGAAAACCTAAATAATATTCCTGTATCCTCCTATCTCCTTGGCTGTAAGAAAATATTCCTGATTCTATTTGGTACT